CTTGCCTCCACTGCATTTATCCTCCCAGTCAGGTTTACCTCTTGGAGGTGAAAAGCCTGAGCAAACAGATGCGAAGCTATGAGAGTTTAGCCAATCCAAACCTGCACTGGATTCAGCTAGTATGCTCACAGCTGCAGAAAATGGGAGGAGCTATTCACTACCTCTCCTGGCTGGCTGCTCTGAGCCAGGTGTGATTTCCCCAGGGTACTTTCCCTAGTTCACACTGATGGAATCCCACAGACATGACAAAATGTCCCATCAGTGAAGAGGATCTGCCTCATCCCACACAGCCATGCTTGCCCTCTGAAGCAGAACTGTTTAAGAGGTGTTCAGTGGGGCATGAAATCTAAAGAGGAAATGCTGAAATTCTAGGAAGAATTTAAGTAGGTGGAGTGTGATTAGTGAAGATGAAATCTATCCAGACCATTGAGTTCAGCACTAATGCTATTAAAAAAAAAAGTATGACATGGGCTCGTTAAATTATCTCATTCCACCTGATCCTATTAGTATTGCCTAAATGATTAAAAAAATCTTGTCCCATTAAACACAAAGGATGAAAATGAGTAAACCCTGAACTAATGGCTGCCTTAATGGAGTACTAGCCCCAACCACAATAGTCCTGTAGGATTTGAGGTGGCTATTTTTAGCCACCATGGTTGACATAAGCACGTAACACTCACATGGTAGGTACCAAGGCTTTGTGTTATCAAACAGAAAAGTGTCATGTATATATTCAACTAGCAACTAATCCTGAAATGTGAACGATTTAGAAAGAGCCAGAGGTATTTCAATGACGTCCTTGGTGGTAGCTTTTGCATAAAAACATGGGAGGGGCAGCATCTGCCACAGGTAGCACCCCACATGCTCCCTTTCTTGATATAGACTCATATGTTGTGTGTGTGTGTGTGTATGGTACTGGGGTTTGAACTCAGGGTGTCACATTGCTGGGCAGGTGCTCTACCACGTGAGCCACTCTTTCAGCCCTCTTACCTAGCTCTTGAAAGCACACTCAGGCACTTTCTCCCAGCTGTGAACACCAGTTAAGATGGAGGTTCCAGCCTGGCCCTGGCCCAGTGAGTGGAGCCGAGTTTCAGCGTATGGCACGCCTAGTGTACGAGAACGCCATATACTGGGCATTTTCAGTCTGTCCTGTACTTGGACAATGGCCAAGGCTTCCTTGATGGCAAAAGGGTTCCCACCTCATCAGGTGGTTTCCTGTGTAGCACTGGTACTGTTTACCACCAGCACACCAAGGGGACTGATTTGGAAGCTAGCCAGAGAAGGCTTAAGCTCAGCTAAGCTCCCCCACTGGAATACAAGTCATATGCTTGCCTCAGATCCACAGACAGGTTAGATTGTCCAAATAAAGGTTTATCTACATCACCAAGCCAGGATTCAGGACTAGGCACAAGGGTGCCATCTGCCATTCGTATGGTAGGGAGCAGCTGCAGGCAGGCAAGCTTTCCCAAGTGCTATTTGGAATGAAATCCAGATCTGCTACTAACCATACTGTTTTAGTCTTCCCCTGTTAACCTTTTACCAAGAAGTACCAATGAGACCAAGATGTTATGATCAGGCAGGTTAAATAAACAACAAATGATAACTTGGTTTTAACATTTTATTGGGTAAATGATTTTAAAGGCAGTAACAATAGTGTCAAAACTACTACAATATCTTTCCTCAGCCATACCTTACAGACCCACATAAACCTGTTTTTTTCTTTTTGCTCATTTTAATATTTTAAAGCCATACATGTCATATAAAATGCCCATTTCTGATAGTTTCTTTAAACTATTAAGCAATTAAATGTGGAAGGAGGGAGGACTTAGTTATATTGATGGGGAGGTTGGGTAATCTGTGGTGTCTTACTGTAATCAAATACATGTTACTAAGAAAGAGGGAAAAGAAGAGCTACTCCAGGTAGCATTTGCTCATTACAAGTCCCACCATTGCATCACCAAGAACTCATTATGCTGGTGACTGATTCAAAATAATTTTGGGGAACATATAAAACACTAAAATAACTTAGAAACTAGATCCAAATATTTCAAAACTAATCAACTTTGATATACAAAAGCAGTCGGAGGTGGTTACAAAAGTTTATTTTCTCAGTGCGTCTATGTACCAGCGCAGTTACTGGGTCCAGAGCAAAATAAAAGGTTCATTTTCTTCTGAAACAGTAATAAAAAACAAGGAAAACATATCTTTGTATATAAAGGATCAATGCTGGTCTTAAGAATAATGTAATCAGAAACCCTTAAATTGAGAGGCACACAATGGGTTTCTACTTTTTAAAAAATAAAAGGAAAGTCACCAGTTTATTTAAATGGAGGAGGTGTCACACCCCTCAAATAAACTTAATTCAGTTTAACATCACTAGCAAAAATCACTTAGAAACTGTACAAAAATAAAAAAGTTAACACATTTAATCCTGCAAGGTTTTTGTAAGGACTGGAAGGCAGGCTTTTGAAGCAGCATTTGGGCATGGCTGGGGGCTTCTTTGGTTTGATCTAACACACATAAGAGATGGAACCTATTCCAGATGACAGTTTCAAATTTCCTGCACATTAGAAGACAAAGGCCAGTATACAAACTTCTGGTGTGCTGGACATTGGGACCGTATACACTGGACTGAAAATCTTAAAACTGCTTTAAATGGGGTGGGAGGGAAGAAAGCAAGTCTTGTACTTGATCAATTTCACTGACCTTTCATGGTGTGGGAGACTAGAGAGGGCAGTAGCACGTTTCTTGTGCATTCAGAAGGCCACTTGAGGGGTGGGGTGGGGGGCAATTGTTCTTTTACAATCTGGTACCTGGCTGACCTTGTTTAAGAACAAAAAAAAGCCTTCCAAAAATAGAAGGCTTTTGCTACATACCAAAATAAGAAACATACTATTTTTCAAGAGGAAAAATACCCAGTTGCATCTGAAAACAGAAAACTTAAGTGGAACTAATTAACATTTAAAGGGGGCTATGTAAACTCTGTGCTACTCAAATGAAGTTCAAGTATTACTTCTGAGCTGTTTAAAAATCATTGAACTTATACAATATTCTGGTGATAAGAGTGCAATTCACATTTGTGTTTCTGAACAAATAAACCACAACTGGCTAGGATACGACCTGTGCAATTAGAATCTTCATCCGAGTTAAAGACACGTGCTACATATTTCCACATGTTCAAAGTTAATTCAAACCACGTATTTAACAGCTTTGTAATATACAACAAAGATGAAAGGGTCTAGAGTTTGTTTGAAGCACACCATTACAGTTTGTACACCCTTTACACTACAAAGTCTTTTAGTCAACAGTTACTTAGACACAAAAAAATGCACTGTGCATCAACTTGAATACAAAAGAAGACAAAACTATCCTTTTCCCCCAAGCCATGTGGGAAATATTGCTGACCTCGTCCTTTGAAGCCTGCAGGATGGTTATTTCTTCAGTATAACATTATTACACTGGTAAGAAAAATCTGTATAACATCTGCATATATCAAGGATTTAAAAAAATCTGATATGATTTTAGAGTCCGCATGACCAGTCACGTGACCTGCTCAAGATTGATTAGCACCGTTATAAATACATAAACACACATATGTGTGTATGCACGTGTAAGTATATGTATACACACACACATATATGTATGCAATAGATCTTTTCTTTAAAAAAACTTCTAACCATAGGCTCACCCAGGACAAGGAGCCTGAGCCTGTTTAACTGATGAGATGATGGATAAGATGGATTTCACAACAATATTGGTCTATTTTGTCTCTCTTCCATTTGTTTCATTTACCTTTTTTTTGCAGCAAACAATATCATTCATCTTGTGCTCAGTTTCCCTATAAGGGCAAGAAAAGTTTCTATCAGGTAGTCACTTGTTTTTGTACTGAAAGACTACTCCAAAATGCTCCCAAGTAGAAATGACAGGATTCAAAATCTCTTCCTATAGTCCAACAACTAAATTGTTCTGACTAATCTCTAAGTTCAATAGAACTGGCTACCAAGATTGCATTTCAGGCTAGCTAGCAATTGGCTTCTTAGTTAAGGCATCACAACTGATAATGGTTGTTTCAACAATGGATGCTGTGAATGAAGGAATACCATTAAACTTCTAAGAACGCTCATCAAACGCTGAAGTAGTATGCTTTGTCCCCGTAGCAAGCAGAAGGGATTCAATCAATTATCTCATAAACTAGAAAAGGATTTTTGAATTCTGAACTAGCAGTCTGTCACTTGTCACAGCAACTATAAGTATAAGCTATATAATTTCAATATTCAGTGACATTTCTTATAGTTTTAGGATATATATTCTGCAGCATACTTTTATTCATCACTTGATATACTGATTTCGTTTGAAAAAATTATATATATATATTTCCCCAAGTATCTATATAGATCTATATATAAATAGATATATAGATCTATCCATCTCTCTCTCTCTCTCTCTCTCTCTCTCTATATATATATATATATATATATATATACATATATATATATATATATACACACACACACACACACACACACATACATATATACTACCATAAAATGAAGGTCATCTTTCTCCAGAGTCATCTGTGATTTTTCCTGGGAAAAACTGGAAATTCTATTGACACCAGTTAAGTTCTCTTTATACGCATCATGGGAAGACTACTCCTGCAAATGAGCTGGGCTCTAACTATAGTATATCTGAATGCCAACTCCACTTTTACAGGTATAACGTAACATCTTATGAACATAGTAAATGTGTTTCTATCAAAAGTATGTAGTGCAGAAAGAAATTCAAGCTATTTTATAGTATCTCTGAAACTCTGGTATTATCTCCATGACAGGCAAACATACCTGAAATCATGGTATGTATGAATTTTTCTTTCACTAGATTATCTTTATCATATCTTTAGATGGTAACTAAAATTGTCTCTGGCCAATTATGACTTATTGAAACCTGACAAATTTAAATTAATATAAAATAGACAAATGTCTTTTTGGTTATTTGCTCAAAATAAATTTTTTTCAGCTAAAAAAATACTTCAGAGTAAGGAATTTGTCTAATCTGTTGTTTTAAATATAGAAATGATAAAATTTTATAAGAATATTTCTCTAAATTGCCTTTTTCTAACCCCTCTTAATTCCACTTAATTATATTCTTCTCAAAGGCACTAAATTCTGCATCTGCATTCTTCCTAATATTTACTGCTCTTCAAAATGATTTGTGTAGACTATTTGAAAGGTAGTTTGTATTTTCTTAAAACAGTGTTTTAGTTTGTAAGTTGGTTCTGTAAAGTGATGAGGCAGTCTCTCTTGTCTGTGATAACCAGCACAGTAGGCATAAATGGTTTCTTACTCTCTGGACAAGCCCTATCATGGACCTTTGAATGTGTTCTACTAGAACTAAAGTTCATGTATTTTAACCATAGGAAAAACATATTCTTAAGGTGTGATGACCCAAATACTAAGCTGTCATAGCAAAGGGATTTTTAGGCAAATTCAAGAGAAATATACAAATACCTGAATTTGATATGCAGTATTCCCAAACTCATCTATCAAAAAATAACTATCTTACTGAGGCAAACTTACTAAAGACAAACCTAAATAATATCCTTAGAAACTGCACACTTCCTTCCATCCACAGTCAAAAGAAGGAAGAACGAAAAAAGAAGAAAAGGAAGGGAGGCAAGAAGGGCAGAAAGACAGAAACCTGATTGAGATAAGAAAACAAAATTCTATATAATATTGTAAGGAAAGAAAACCCCAAAAGTTATATATGCTGCAAAAAAAAAATCAATGACCTAAAATAATAAAACAGGATCTTCTGAACAAATGCCACTTTCCTACCCGTTACCATGATGATCTTAATTGATGATGTCGATGCTTCACCATGGCAACGGAAACTATCATCATAAAATGGTACAGTAAAAGAGATAGCTAGACCAAGAAGGTGTAGGGTCTCCTGGGAAGAGGTCTGCAGAGAGGCCCAGTGACTGGTTGTGCGGCTCAGTGTCAGGAATAATGGTTGTATGGAGGAAGAGGATGCCCAATGCCATTTTGGAAGTGATGATGCTGGCGATGAGCAAGGTATTCAGCATAACTCAAGGTCATCTTTTCACTACGGTACCTGAAAAAAAGTCAGGGAAGAGAACAGTAATGTCAAGAAACGGGTGACATGCCATTGTCAGAGCTAGGAGGGACTAAGATGATTTTACAGATTGGGAACCGAGGTCTAGAGAGAAACAATGACTTGCCTGAGGTCACACAGCTAGTAAGTAGCCAAGCTAAGATCATAACACAGGAATCCAAAGTGCTTTAGGAATTTTATAGCCCCTTTTGCCCTGGTTTTCAAATAGGAAGGAGTAGGGGAGAGCCAATCGTTTACCATCATATATCCATCTTATTCACTTGACTATTTTTCTTCAGATATCTTCCATCTTTCCCCTTTCTCTGTTTTAACATTCCTTTCTCTGTTTACACATTGCCATTAAGTGATGACTATTCTTAATACTGGTACCCGAACCTTCTCTTTTCCCCATGTCTACCTTTCTTTTCATAGCCACACTTCTCAAGAGAGTAATGTCTAGTTTCTACCTTCAGCTCTCTTCTCACACACTCCCTGGCTCAGTGTTCCTTGGTTTCTGCTGCTACTCCTCCATAGATATAGCTGTCAGAAGGTTGCTTGATTCTGTTTGACCTTTCCATGATGATAACCATTTGCCAGTCCCTTTCTGAAGTTCTCTAGTCCTCTGGGATCTCCCCCTGTCACTCAGATGGCTTCTTATCTCTTTGTCCTCCTACCTCTGCCTTGAAGGATTTTCTTAGTTTCTATCTTTAGTTGTTTTGACATACTTTACCCCTTTCAATGAACCTAATCCTTACAGATTCAACTATGACCTCTTTACAAATAATCCCAAGGCATCATCTCTAGCCATGAGCTCTACATATGCCCATTTTCAATGTCCTATTAGACGTATCTATATAGATATCCCAGGAAGTACTTTCAAATCCACAATTGATACATAAGCCTAGGTCTTCTCCTGTGGTCCCAACCTTCCTTCAAGAGATGACTTTGATCTCTTTTAGCTAGACTAAACCCTTGACTTCCTTACTTCTAAATGATGACCGAGTCCTGCCATTTCTTCCACAATATTTTCATATCTGTCCCTGCCTTTCTTCCCATCCTATTGCCACAGTTCTAGTTAAAGGCCACAACTTTTGGGTTGCTGAGACAGATATTATCATCATCACAGCAATGTCTCAGCTCATTTTCCTGTTTCCAATTCCAATTGTACACTTCTCCAAATATAACTGTTTAAAACCCTACAATGGCTACCAAATGCCTATAGAATCAGGCCTAAACTTCTTAGTCTAGAATGCCAGACCTTCTGTGGTCTGAGCCAACTTACTTCTGGGCCATATTTCTTCCTAATCACTGTCTGCTCTAGGTGCACTGAAAGACCAGGCAAACTAGACTATTTCACATTCCTTAGAACTTGCTTTGTACTTGCCATGTACATGCTTCGACTTACAACACCTCCAGGAAATCCCTCTTCCTCCTTCGTCTTCCACCTGTGAAATATTCAACCCATACTTCAAGCCCACCCCTAATCCACCTCCTCTTTGTAACCTTCTGTTACCCTTTCACTCCTTCCTGGGATTCCACTTTCCTGGCTTCATGATCTTACATCATCCATCATATTCTGCTTTATAGTAATAATTATTTTTGGACATGCCCTTTTATTCTCCTTAACTACAAACTCAGAGAGAACAGAGATGGAGCTTTTTCAAATTTGTAACTGCTCAGAGCTGAGAATAGTCCATTTTTAGACTATAGGTATTCAATTCAGTTCTCTAGAACTGAAATAAATGGAAACGGCAACCCATTTTCCTAAAATGCTTACTATTTTCCTTTAAAAAAACCTCTCTATTATTCCATGCTAAAAGTTATTTAGTATTCAAGTTTAGCTCAATTGTGTTTCTGAACAAGTTTTTATGGTAGATTTCTATCCCTGCCAAAATTTTAAGCTAAATTCAAATTTAAGGACTGCTTATCTGGGATTCTGCTAGATAATGTCAAAAGCTAGCAAATAGTTAATTCTGGTCCTTCTCCCAATAAGGGAGTCTAAAATCTCAGAGGGCTTGTTGGTATAAAATGAGGCTAATCACACAGAGCTAAAGATGGGAATGATGGCCTCATAGATCACTCAAGCTTTCTGCCAAGCAGAGTTTTATTGTATCCATCCTGTGTCTGGCCCCGCCATACATTTCTACTGATTCAGAAAAAAAAGTAGTATAGTTGAGACCAAAGAAATCAAAAGATTATAGGCATGCACTTGGAAATATACTAGTTAGCATTAGTGGGGAATGTTTTCTGTACCTGGTCAGTTTTATGGTTTTCCTGAATTCATTAGTAATCGGAGCTTTGTATCCTCCTTTCCTCAGTAAGGAGTCTATGGTCTGAATATGGTCCCATCCTGTGGAGAGTCAATTAGATAAAATATCAGTTAAGCACATGTCACAAGCACCCTTGGTTAAATACAAAATCACTTTGTACAGGTCAGCTATCACTGTCACCAAATGTCATCATCTCCTTTGGTCCTAAAAATAATCATAAAGAACATCTAAGATTTCATCCTGTACAGAAGCAGGTTCATCACCATATACCCTAAATTCTAACTATCCAGAACAATGTCTAAAGTTTACTTCTTTATTTCAACCACATTTGAGGTAAGGACCCTAAGAGACTAGCAGCAATTGCTCAGTCATGTCTCTGTAACAAACCACAACCAATATACTATCCTCTAACAATGACATCTTCAAAAGAGGAAAAAGCCTAAATGTCATTATGACAACTCAGTCATATTTAGGACTCTCACATTACCTCATTGTAATTGCTGGTCTTAATGATATTTTATGTAATTAATCAAGTATATTTGTGTACAATATCCTAGGTCATTTTTATTGGTCTCGACATACATGGTATCCTAATGTCTGAGGCCCTCTCTCTCTTATGTACACTTTATGAAGTCACTGATAGTGCAGGATGAAGACATTTTCTAAAGCAACCCAAATAAATCTTCATATAACTGCCTTAAAGATTAACTTTCTCTTTGGGGATTCAATGATACTAAAGCTGGCTGTTATATACCTCACATTTATATGAATATAGGAAAACCAAATTTTAAATGCTTTCTCATGTGAAGGAAAGCTCTGTAAAATAAAAAAGATATTCAATTCAGCTAACTGAGAGTAGACTTTGGTAGTGGCTAGAAAGTACAAAATTCTAGAGTGAAGTTAGTTTGTATTGCAATGTTGGTTCATAAAGGTCTATGTTATATTCATGAAATAAGAAAATGTTTGTTGATTAGGAAATGTAGACAAAGCATACAAAACAATTATACTTCATATATTCACAATGCTCCCAGTATTAATGGGAAACCTGCAATTTTAATATTATCAGAATGAGTAATGGCAACCACCTACCTAAGAATGAAACATTAGATTCAGACAATGATAGTGAATTGTGTGGCTGTCTGTCAAGCTAAAGGCTTATTTATGCCGTAAGACTACTTATAGCACAGTGGGATATGGGAAAATGGCATTTCAAATTAGTAGCAAACTCTTGCCTAAATAAAGCTCAACTTTTATAAATCTTTGCTTTATAAAAGTATGCGTTTATGAGTTTATCCTGTCAAACTCTGGTGCAGAGATTCAGCTTTGATACAGACATTGCAGTGGCAGTGTTAGAAGAGTCACTTCTTGTAATTTGACACTGATCAATTATCAGACATAACTGCAAGGTCAGATATTGCATTTCAATTTGTCTACTTGTTTAAATTCTTCATCAGATCACATGAAATAAAGTACAACAATGACCTTGCTCCTTTGCAACCTCCGGTAGGTAGGTGGCGGTGCGTTTTGATCCTTTTTCATTGATGAATTCTATTCTAATGCCATGTACACCCACCTGAAAGAAATTGGCAGTTTTATTAGTACAGTCTTCTTCATAGAAACAGAAATAAAAAGTTAAAATGTAACTTCAAGAGAATGTGGTTCTTCCTTTTCTCCTAGTTTTTGGAAGTGCATATCAGTTTTCTCCATCCAAAGCTTTGACTTTGGATTTGAAAGCCATTACTATGTCCATAGAGACTGAAAATATTGATCTGTATATGCCCAACATGTGTTGGGCTACGCTATTCTGGTTTGAAAACTGGAACAACCATTCTGGGGTTGTGCACAGAGGAAGACCAGTTGGTGGCAAGAATTCTACCCCAACTCCCAAATTACTACTCATGACAATAAGGAACTAGACAAAGGGAAACCCCTCTCAAACTGTCTGGTCCCTTTCAAACACTGATTTATATGTAGGCAATCAAACAACTGTCAGACAAAACTGAAAAAAAATAAGGAAAACAACCAGACTGGACATCACATGGTACCTTTCAATTTAAGAGCAATAAAGACCAATCACTTTATGGCAGGGCTTTTTTTTTTTATTATAGTTTCTCTATAACCTAGCACAGAAACCAATGTAACTTTTTAGAGAGCCGGCTGTTCAGTATGGTATGACCATAGACCCAATGTAGCTTTTTAAAGTGTACAGCAAACTTTCTACAATGCCACATATTAGTAGTCTTCTGAGTAAGTATGGACGATTTCTTGATAATGCTTTCTTAAAAGTACTGTGATTTTCCATTTTATTAGCATACAATCAAAAGGAAGCTGTCCTTTCCCCTCATTTCTCACACAGAATAGCGCATACAGCTTAAGAATGACCACTCAAAATTGTTAATTTCTTTGTAAACACTAGTAATAGAAATGAAATTTCAAAAGCACAATCACCCCATTCTGTTCTCCCAAATCTGTGGCTGTCTCAGATCAACAGTTCTCAAGTGGGGTGTCAGGTTGTCCAAGATTCTGGAGGCCAGATGTAAGACAAGATGAATGCTATTCCCTAGAACAGAACCTTCTTTTCAGAGCAGATGAGTGAAGCCATAAATCCTTATCCATTCTATGTGTATAAATGTAAAGATCTAGAAGAAGAAAACAGGTCAATGAAAACCTCTTGCTGAGTCTATCCTTAGCCTGAAATTTTCCAATTTTTTAGGAATAAAAAATCCTCTAGGAAATCCATTTCTTTCTTTCCTTGGGTCTTCTTCACACATCCATCCATAAGAGCCTGTCAGATCTTCTGAGAACTTTATGTTCTGTATTAAAACATATCTGTGGCTGCTTCTTCTAGCTATTTAATATCAATAGTCTTATGATTCTTCTGCTAAAAATGCAATCAGAGCAACTATTTAAACAACTAACACAATAAGGCCTCCCAGACCCTGTGGGAAATGAGTGTGGACAGCTGAGAAGAAATACGAATGCTTAGCTATCAGGCATCTCCAGGATAAAAGGGCATCTACTAATGTCCCCAGCGCCTGACATAGTACTGAGGCAATGACAGATTTGCAACACTTGTGGTATACTGATTTCCTGATCATTGACTTTGACATTTTTTTCTTTGATAATATCAGATTCTTTCTAATTTGTTTTTTAAACAAGTAATCTATGCTCTATCATTCACCAAAGTGATTTTTGAATCTTCAACTCTATTTATCAAAAAAGTGTCATGTTAAAATTGAAAAGAATTGTGGTGTTTATTAAGATGTCCAGTCAAAATTGTGAGGGAACGAATGTATCCCTATCTGTGAGATGAGAGTGTCAGACAAAATAAGTGAGATTTGACTCACATGGAGTGGGGGAAGGGGCTAAATAGTTTACCAAAAACGCAGTATGTTTCATGCTTTAGCAAGTATAGTTTGGAAAAAGAACAATTCCCCAGGTGATTTTTATTCTACTTGAACTAGATAACCTCTAATAATCACCCTCATTCTGACAAACTATGGCTATGTATTGGGAAAAATGATTAAGGTAAATGGAGGGGTAATTTAAAAACATAAATCTTTTCTTCATAGGAGTACATTCTGTGTTCTTCAACAAAAATGTCAGAGATTTTAAAGCCTAGTAATTTAACAATTAAAAGAGGCTAAGACTAATTGTATGGTATGTGACTTATACATCCATAAAGCTATTTATATGAGGTTAGAACAAAATCAAAGGACATGCTGAACAAAATAAAAATTAATCATGAATAAGATTGCTTTTTTTTACTTTTGTATTATGAAAAGGCTCCACCATCAAATTTGATTTTAAAATAAAAATTCTCTCATTTTGGTTTTGTACTTTTAACTCTTTTCTGGGTTCCTGTGATTGTGAACAACTGAAAGCCCTTATAAATATGGCGATTTTAAAGTGAATGCTTTGTTAGAAATAACTTTTTTTTTACAGGTCAGAAATACACTCCACAAAGCAATAAAGCCCAAAGCAGAGTGACTCATTTTTTCAACTAATAGAATCAGGGGAACAGTAATAACATTCTTAACAGATCAAAGCATAATAGCTTTTTGTCACCTGTCAAACAACAGTATTTTCTTTACTCCTAAGAAACACAGATGTCACCAAATATTCACACTGCACAATCAAAACAGGGTAGAAGAAAATGCCCTGCTGTAGAGAGTGACCAATTTTGGCCATCCTGTGGAAATCACTGGCTTTGTAAATTAAGTCATCTCCACTAAAATGAGCACCAAAATGAAATCCATATTGTTTCTGGGAGGCATATGTCACAGCTGCAACTCCAAAATGTAACCCTTGTGCATAATAATTGAGTCCTCCCTTTGACAGATTAGAGAATCCTTCAGTGCAGCATCTTCCCAAGAAGCAAAGGCTATAGATGCAGTTATTAGGTAGATAAAGGATCAGCTCACTAGGGAACTGCGATTCCTTGAAGTAAATCTGCTCTAAAACTCCATCACATGAACCCTGTATTATTAAGGATGGATAAAGAGACAGCATCTAGGAAAACTATGCCACCAAACATATCTCTGACTAATCTTACCACTACCCAAAGTACAGCCAAGTGGGCAAAAACTGGAGATTTGAAAATGTAGCTTTATAGGATTCTGCAGGTTACTTTCAAAATTATTAGAAGGTCTGAGGAAAAAAATGCTTTCACGGTCCATCAGCCATAACAGTATTGTTTTAATCAAGACTGTACTTTTAGTAAGCAGAGCTATAAATCAATTCAAATGGTAGTAAATTAAATGTAAGACTTATAGATAAGAGGATATGGAATTAAACAGAGCTCTGTCTAAGAGTGCTGAGAGAACATTTAGATCAGTTCAACAGATTCCTATTTCATGTTAAATGAAAGCCATATTAATTCTGAAGCATTCCATAAACAAGTGATTTTTATTAATATTATAAAATCTTTTGTTTTTTTTAAACATTGTTCAGAATGATTAAGTATCAAGATTAATGTCAAGACCCTTAAATATATCTTGATTATTCTGGAACTGATCATCCAGTTTGGGGATTACTCATCCCCAACTCTACCCTGGCCTCAGCTCCATCCTTTTTACTCTCTTGTCCATTTCTCTATTTGCTCACTTCTCTATCAGAGAGTATGTGGGCACAGAGAGAAGAGATACACACAAATTAATCAATTTTGCTACATAGTAAAAGGTTTGGTAGGAAAAGAGATTATAAATAATGGCTAAAATGAAGCGCTGAGACTGTCTGCAGATTTCATTTATCCTTGTTATCTGGCCCCTTGTTAGAAATGTGGCTTCACTTAAAACTATTATCCTCTAATGCAGTGACCCTCAACACAAGAGCATTTAAAAAAAGTGGCCTCTCCCACCCCATTATAATACATGGTTCATATTATTTTCCTCACAATTGTGTAGTCAAAACGTAGTATTACCCTCGTCTATCTATAAGGCAAGTGCTAGTCCTGTAATCCACTAGCAATACAACAAAAGAGTCTCACTTTTACTTGTGAGCCTAATCAGCAAGCCAACAATCTGAACAGGTTGAAACATGTAAAAAAAAAAAGTCATCCAGCTAAAAGCATAAATGTGTATAAAGTGTGCTCTGCCAAAGTAGAGCAGGCTTCATGCAAACCTTAGCCCATTTAGGTCCACAATTACCCCACAGTCCTGACACTCAAAGCTAAATCTGCTCCTGTTCGTACTGGAACAAACTACTTCACCAGGTGGCATCTTGTCTTAGCCAATACCAGTTAGTCTCATCCTTCCACATTTTCAGGACCAAACGCTGGGTTTCACTATACCAGTATGGCCATATCTACTCTACTCATTTTCAGTGAATTCATCTTGAAAAACAAAAATATCAGGAGGTCATAGAATCAAAACTTTTTTGACATGCCTTTTTGATGAACTTATTTGGCAAAACACACTTAGTTAATTAACAACACACCCATTCACATAAGACTAACCTGCCAGGCTCAATGTGCCAGTGCCATTGAACTGAACGAAAGAACTTGGTTCCTAATCAGAGGAGCCTGGATGTTCGGCACACACCCGAACCTTTTGCGGCTGGCCTCACTGAAGACATGCATGTGCTCTCACAGAGTACATGAGCGCAAGCCCAGGGTACCATGGACAGAAGCAAACACCGGATTGGACAGTCCATGAGTCTGGCCCAGAGTCGGATGTCTCTTACACTCTCAGGAGGAAAAGCCGTATGTGCTATTTCTCAGACAAGCACAAAACTCAAAGTGCAGCACATTGCCCTCTTGCACTCACTGACTACAGCGCCTTCTTCCTCACTCCAGTTCAACATAAAAAGAGGAGACTACTTCAAACCTAGGGCTACTCCATGTTGTGCTTTTGAATGATAATTCTGTGGGAAAGAAAAATTAAATTTTTAATTGCAGAGGCCGACAACACTTTGTTTAGATCCTAACCGACTTCTTTCCTCAAACCAGATACCATGAAAAAATAATTTAGACTATATATTATCTAGATCTTCCCATCAAATCCTTACAGTTGTGGCTGCATCACCTCACCCACCAATTTGAGGAGCAAGTCTGAAGTTCTATAGGTATCCATC